AAAATGGGTGCAATGAGCGTCTAAATTGTGGACGGAAGGTGCTTGGGCAAGGGGCTGTGAAGAGCCATTGCAGGGGCTAGGGCAGAAAGGGAAAAAAACCAGACATGAATCTGCCGGGGAATGGGTGGAAAACAATGAGAGCATTCACCCCATCAGAGCTGGAACTGAACCCCCGATTCCCAATTCTGCCAGCCCTGTGCCATCAGCAAATATCATGGGCTTGCTGACAAACTCCTTCCTATCATGAGCAAGCTCTCAGAAAATGATCGTTTACCATTATTTTGTTACTTTAATTGCTAAAATGGCAGAGGTCTGCATTTATCACCCATGTGGGTGGTTCAGTGCTGCAAACTGTTTTTGAAGTTTTCTTTGGGAAAAAAGCATTAGAATAAAAACAGGTCCTTTTTACAGAAAACCCAAGGTTTCAAGGTTAAATATACACAGAAGAAATGCCATAATTAATGCAGGATTAATTCAGCTGCCGTTTATGTGTATATTGTAGTACAGCCTTCCAGCCCTCCTCTTACCCAAGGTTCCCTTCCTTACTCAGTGCTTCCTCCGGATCTGTCCAGGGATGGATCTGAGCAGCAACACAAGATCCCTGCTTGTTCGGCACAGCATTTGGAGGATGTGAAGTGAATGAGGACAGGGGACGACAAGGAGAATCTCACAGCAATGAACACTGCCTTGGAGAGCAGCATCCCATCGCCATCAGTGCCAGGAGAAGTCACTGCAGTGTTGGGGTGTGGACTGTTCTAATAACTCTGCCTTGCATTTTTTGGATGCCCAGTTTATTCAAACAGGGAAACACCACCGGCAGCAAGTGAGGCCAATGGGAGCCGTCCTCTCTATGTATTCATCCCCGAGTATCTTGGAAAATTAAGGCTCTGCACTGGCAGGTTTGTCAAGCCTACATTTTTAACCGTTTCTGATCTTTCATGACTTTTCTATTTCAAAAAGAGGAGAAACACCAGCCACTTTCCCAACCCACTAGCACACTGCCTTTGCGAAGCACCCAAATACCGCAGTCACAAGCGTCACAAGTCCACGAGGACCACAATTAACTCCATCTGCAGCAACGACTGATCTGTGCA